TTATGATCAGCCAAAGGCATTGCAACAGTTCCAGGCAGGAGCAAGGAGAACATCAAACCCCTGGGCCTGAGGGACCCCAGATTCAGCTGGACTGTGGCAGGCTGGCCAGCCCCGAGTGCTTCAGCTCTGCTCTGCACTGCTGGCATCCAGCCCTCCTGCTTTTTTCCCCTCTGTATCAGGTTGCTCCTTGACCTGCTCCTACAACCCTGCAAATGATCTCATTTGTTCCTACAAATTTAAAAACACTTTAGAACTCAGATGCAAGGTGAAAGCAAGAAGCTGGTTGGATTCCACACAGTTTTGTGAGCTTGTAAACAACACTGGCCCAGCTGCAGTTCAGAAAGTCAGGCTGCTGCACAGCCCCATCACAAACACCCCTGGCTGAAGGGCTGCTGCCTGTGGAGGTCTGGTTTCCCCACCACCCTCCCTCCCAGCCCCTAGTGAAATGTGTGAATGACACACAGTCAGGTCTGGGTGTGTGGCTGGCTCAGGACTAACAGTGCCAAGCCCCACGCCAGCCCCTCACTGCAGTGAGACTCAATGGACTGGATTTCTTTACAAATGGGAAAGCAGCAGCTGCTGGTAGCTCTGGCCCAGTTGTCCTGAAGACAAGAGGAGCATTATGCCATTAAAACATGGTTCCTGTATGCCCTGCAGTACAACTGTGTGGTCTCTTGCCCTGCTGGATGGATTACACCTGATGCAGCTATGTTTTGGAGCAGGCCACTCTTTTAGGGTGCACCCTCCCAGGCTGGGGACAACTTCAATGCCTCGTGCTGGGAGCTGGCCTGCAGCTAAGCTGGCTCCAGGTCACAGTGCTGCTCCAGGAGCTGTGCTGGGACAGCTCCCACAGACAGTGGGGTTTGCAGAGCCCCAGCTCTGCAGCAGCACCCACACCTCCCAGCTGCAGCTCTTCCTCCCTGTCCTACTTCATCCCCTCTGGTTCTTGCTCATCTCCACTAAATGTGATGGGACAAAGCCAGTGGTAAGGGAACAGTGCTCATTATTCATGTGGCATTTCTGGCCTGCCTCCTGGGGCTGCCTGGCCAAGGCTGTCTAAGCCCATTTTTGAGGCAGATGGAGCACTCAGAGCATCCTGCTCCTGGACAGGTGACTGGATGGACAGGGGAGGGTCAAACCCAGCACTTTCCCTGTCCTCCTGTGTGTTAGACTTCTGACATGATTTTGCCTACCCATGTGTTATTTCCATAAATTCATTTTGAAATAGGCTGCTGCAGATGTATCCAGGACAGCAGTAGGATGTTGTGTCGTGGGGTGGCACCAAGCTGGAGGGGAAAGAGCAGGAGTGCCCACCTCTGGCATGGTTTCTGAAGAAGTGTTTTCTTATTGCTGAACGTTACTGGGCTATTTTTAAGAGGGTCCTGTTAACTCTGTAGCTAGTTCTTCAATATTAGGATGGGAAGCAGCCCTCCCTAGTGTACTGACACTACTCCAGTTTGGGTGGTTGCATCCTTCCAGAGTGGATCTCTCCTGCAATTCTTTTCACATATCCTAAGCTTTAGTGTAATGCTGTTGTGGGTAGTTGAAAGCTGCTGCACTTCACCCCAGAAATGGCTGTGGTTTTGTGCTGGGTACCTTTAGAGGATGCTTTGGGATGAAAGAGATCATCTATAAGCTAGACTTTACCTCACTGTGGAGTCATTCTTAGTCACTGGGTAACTTCTGAGAAAAATAAAACTGATGAATGCAGGGAGTAAACACATCTATTTTTGTAGTTTATCTTCCAAGTCAAACAAAAATAAGAGCTGACTTGAGGCTGCATGACATGCTGGTAACTGAGAACTGGCAACACGGGGCCTGACCCTCTCTGCTGTGCGCCAGGACAGCTCCTGGGGTCAGTGGAGTTCAGGTTCCTGCACTCCACCCCCCAGCCCGTAGCTGTTGGAAAGCTGAGCGTGGCAGGGTGGGGCAGTGAGGTGAGCCATGTGAGCAGTGTTTGGAGGCAGAGCTGGAGTCAGCTGGGAACCTGCCTGGTGATTCTGCTGCTGCCTCTGCGCTGGAATGGAGCTGATGTCTCAGCAGGAGCTGGCAGAGGTCTTGTCTTCCAGCCCAGTTGGGTTACTGGCACCTGGGGTAGCTGCCCACCTCTGCTGGGCTGCACCAGCCACCCCTGGACTTCAGGGGGGAGCTTTTACCCTCGTCCTCCTTCCAGAGCTGCAGGGCTGCTTCGCTCTCTCTCCAAACGGGGAATTTCCAAATTGCCATATATAGATCTCCCCTCCAAACAAAACTTTTCTGTCCAGCTGAAAAAAAAGGCTGTGTTCCCAAAGGCCTGTTTGTTCCAGCAGGGGTGGTTTGTCTGGGAGAGGATATTGTGCCTCTTCATGTTGTTTACATCCCTCCAACGTCGGGGCGGGCGCCGCGTGCCCCCGGAGCCTGCCCAGGGCAGGGTGCTCAGCCTGGTGCTGAGCCTGGTGTGCTGAGCTGTGGGGGTGCACCCCTGGGGCTCGGGCAGCTCCCCACCCAAACGCAGCAGTTTGGTTGGTGATGGTTTTCAGTTGGTTTTTTTTTGTTGGGCTGGGTTTGTTTTTTTTACAATCCTGAATTGCTCCTGAGCTGTTCTGTAGCATGGTGGGGAGATGATCACCCTGAGTGGATCTGTCAGGTTAGGGGTGGGTGCAGGATGTGAGCCCAGCAGGGACAGGGAGCTGAGGTCTGCAGCAGGGGCTGAGCACCCTCAAACAGGAGCATCTGGAGTGATGCTGCTGGCTTCAGAGTGCAGGATGCAGCTAGGGAAGAGCCTCCATGCACACTCACCAGTCTTACTGGAAACAGGATCTCTCATTTACAGTAAAGTTTAAAAATAAACCAAAATTGTATAAGGTCTAATTATTTTCTAGGCTGTTTTTTCCTGCTTCCACCTCTCCCAGCGGGACTTGCATGGAGATGAAGGCTGAAGTCTCTGCAGGCTGCAGGGTGCCAGACTGCACGGCGTTTACATTGATAAACTGCCCATAAAGGGAATTATTCTAGGATGAAGAACCCTTCTGTGGGAAGAGTTCCTCGGGAAGTGAGTAATGGGAGGAAGTCATCTCCACATACCCACCAGCTCTAGCCAAAGGCCTCTGAGCGTGCCCCCACCAGCCCTGGGAACCAGACCCAGAACACTTCCAGCCAGTCTTTGCAGTCATTTTCCTCTGCCCCATTGCCCAAGGACCCATGCAGAGGGTATCTGGGCTAGCTGATGAGAAGCAGATGCAATGGGGCAACACTTGTCTCCTCCAGCCCACCCCTTCCATGTCCCAGGTCAGGAGTACAACCAGTGTGAGCAGCAGGTAGGACACACTCACCAGTGGAGAAGAAGGATGTGACTGGAGAACTTCCCTCAGCAGTGGTTTGGATAATCCCAGTTCCAGCCTGCATGAGTCAGTGGGTGAGGTTGTCCCCAAACAGGGACATGGGACAGGGACATGCAGCCTCCTTCCTGATGCAGCTGGGTACCAAACTGGGAGAGGAATCACAAACAAGTGCCTAGGAAACTTAACTGCTGACTGAATCCACAGTTTTTCAGTTGGATCTGATTTCTTGGGCCTGTTCCCACTTTTCATTTGGTCGAGGAGTTGGGGTGCAACTTTTTTCCTCCCTGTACAGCTGCTTGGCTCTTACTCCTGTTCACTTTTTTTACAGTTCCCAGGAGAGAGAAATTCAAATTGAAGGAAATATTGCTCACCAGTTTCAGCACTCCCACAGGCTTCTAAACCCTTCTCCTTTGCTCCTTTTCAGCCTGTCTTGTTGGTCACTCCTCATGGTAGAGGAGCTGATTGGTTGTAATTGGGCACAGAACTGGGTGTAACTTTCCATCTGTGCTCTACTGGCCATGTGTTGGAGTTGCCCAGGTAGCACGTATGAAAACCTAGGGTGGAAAAAAAAGAGACTATTGTCACCTCTAGCTGATGGGAGGGAGGCAAAAGCAGCTACATGGGCAGGAGGACAGCCATGAGAAGGAAAATGAGGTCTGGTCAGTGCTTTGCTCTGCAGGAGTCTCCTGCATGCAGGGGAACTAGAGAGGCTGTGTGCCAGTGGAGGCTGAACCTGGGGTCTTTGGTACATGCTCTCTGCCAAACCCTGCAGCCCTCCATCCAGCAAGACACTTGTCAGAGGTTTATCTTCAGGCACATGAGTCTGCTTTGAGTCAGCAGCCACAGACTGGAGCAGGAATTCAACAGCACCCTGCAGGGGGATGAGCAGTGGGCATGCAGCAGGCTCCTGCACCTCCTGGCTGTGCCCCAGGACTCTGCTTCGTGCCCTGTGCTGGGCGGCTGGCACCCCCCTGGGCTGGGGCCACTTCTGCCTTCCTGGGGGCCACCTGCACCAGCCCTGCTGGGGGGAAGGCAGGCAGGGGTGGCACCTCTGCTGCCTGCCCGTGGGGCAGTGCTCAGCCTGCCTCCTCCCAGAGGATTAGGCAATATTGCCAGGGCAGGGCAGGGCAGCTCCCCAGCCTCTCTTACTTTTTCTTTCCTCTATATACGTGTTTTTCCTTTTCTAGCTCATTCCAGAGTGAAGCAGCTTTGGATCTCTCCGAGCTGCTTTTTTCTTTTTTTCCCCTGGTAGCTGGAGTGCTGCCAGGCTCTTGCAGGGCCAAAGTTTGATCTATAGGGATATATTTTTCAGCCCAGCCCAGCTGCACGCAGGCTGCCTGCGACCGAATCCCCGCTCCCGGGGCGAGTTTAACTCGGGAGAGGAGCAGCAGCGGGGGTGGTGGTTGTGCCTCTCCTCCAGCTATTCCTGTCAAGATGGATTTATGACTTTAAAAGGAGGGGGGGGGAGGAAGGAAAATTGCCTCCAGGAGTCAGAGCTTACACCACAGCCCGGCAAAACCCACGGAGAGGAGAGGATCTCCCGGCATGAGCAGCGTCACGGTGGCACTCCGGGGGCTGGTGGATCCTTGCACGTAATATGACTGATCTGAAGCCTCTCATCTGCCTTCCCAGAGCTGAGCTTTTGGATTTAAGGTAGTTTGCCCAGGACCAGGCTTTGCTATGTGGGCCAGGACGGTGCTTTCTCTCGGGCTGTGGCTGCGGTTTGCTGCGGGACAGAACGTACCTGAGAGAGGTGAGTGCCTGGGGAGATGAGGTGTCCCCTTCCTTCCTTCTGCCCCCACTGGGTTCCTCCTGGTCCTCGGAGCTTCTCACAAATCCTTTTCGGAGTAAAAGCTGAAGTTCTAGTGCTGCTTTAGGTGTATAAGACTTGCATGTTCCTTTGCTGGCACGAGGATCAAACAAACCAACCAACCTTTCTAACGTCGCCGTGTGAGTAAGAAATTTTATCTTGCTTGTTTCCTGTAATGGAGATTTCCAGAAAGTTGCAGAGTTTAGTGTAATAATAAGGAAAAAGTCCCGACTCCTCCCTGTTACCTGTGTGCTGAGACACAACGACCATGAGAAGTGGAACCAGGGACTGATATGATCCCTGCCCTGTTGTTCTCTGGCTAATCTCTGCAGTTCTCTCCTTGTCTTCCCTCTTCCAAATGCTTTCTCTTGGATATGGTTCAGGGGAAATGATTATGGGTCAGTCTGCCAGGACAGACAGTGGGGAGAGGGAGGCAGAGGAGGTGAATGTCTCATTTCTGGTGCCTGCAGCCTCCTGGGGAGGGCTGAGCTGCAGCAGTTGCCTGTGTGCTCACAGCAGAGGCAGGTTCTGCTCTTTGGCTGCAGGGCTGCTGCTGCCTGCATCTGGGTTTCCCTGCCCTGGGAAATGCAATCCAGTGTGAAAGGAGAGGTGAGCCTCTTGTTTACCTGGCCAGCAGGTCCTCAGCCCCAGACAGCCCAGACTGCAGGGTCAGGTTCTGCTGCTGGTACACAGAGCAGAAACTATGGCTCAGATCCCCTTCCAGGGTCCTGGGTTGTGCCCCTCTGACACAGGGGGGTCAGGGAGGGTGCTGCTGCCCCTGGCATTGGCACAGTGTCCACACAGGCAGCACTTATTCAGGAATGTGTGGCAGTTCCCCAGCCCAGGCTGAAGAAGAAGCTGGGGCCATCAGAGCCTGTGAAGAAGCAAGCCAGGGCTTTCCTGGAGGCTGTGCCTGGCTGGGAGGCAGAGCTCTGTGTGCTCTTACTGGTGTGCTGGCTTTGGCTCGGGCTGCCAAGCACCCTCAGAGGAAATGAACCTGCTGGTGGCACGGTGCCTGTTCCACAGCAGCTTTGATGTGGGGGCCTCCAAGGCTCCTCCCTGGTGCTCCCTGAGGCAACCTTGAGCAAGCAGCCAGTCTGGCAGGGCTCCTGGGCTCTTGTCTGGAGGTGCTGTGGTGGTGTGCCATGGTGACACAAGCAGAGGGACTGTTTCAGAGGTAGAGATGCACGTTCATGACTGTTCCCCAGGGACCTGGCTGCATGGAACGACTGTGGCTGTATTCTCAGCTGCTGTGGACACAGTGAGGAAGGTCCTGGGTGGCCAGTGGTGCTTCCACACCCTCAGGAGTGATTAGTTCTTCCCAGGCCATGGCTATTCATTTAGTGCACCAAGGCACAAAGTCAAGGCAGAGCATCACAGAACCAGTTCCACCACTTTCCTCCTTGGGTCCAGAATCCAACCCCCGTTGCATCATTGTAAAATGCATTTGATAGTTTGGACTTGGACAAATTAAATCTAGGTGGTCATTACCTGGTTACTCTGGTCTGGCATCAGCAGAAAACTGTGGGGATGTTGCCATCCCTGTGGGTGCAGCAAGTGAAAAATAAAGACATTGCCCACCCGTACCCAGTTGTAGAAGGTTCTGTGCTTATTGATCTCTGAAGCACAGCTCAGTACCTGGCCTCATGCCCTGATTTCCAGGACTCTTAATGATCTATATAAAACAGCAGATAGAGAAACTCCTGAAAAGATCAGAAGAGATGGCAACCCAGCTTCCTTCCTGCCAGAGGAATCTATCTGAAGGGCTGTTTCTCAGCCTCCAGCCTGTGATCTGTGGCATGAACAAGCTGGAACCTGCAGAGGAAGTTTGGGATTTGAGTCACACAAGTGTATTTTGCTTGGTGGGGCTCAGCTCCTTAAATGGGCAGGTGACTGAGGCTCAAGCTCTCTCCCGTGGCACAGGTCTCTCTGGTGGTTTGAAGTGTAAAACACCTCCTGGCTGGCATGGTGGGATGCCTCTCTCTGTGGGAGAGGTGATGCCTTCCCCTCCTGCCTCTCACTGGGATCCCAAGGGGCCACAGGGAAGCAGAGCCTGTGTTCTTCAGCCTCCAAACCTGGCTCTGCTCAGAGCAGAACTCTTCCTTGCATGGCCAAACAGTGAGAAGGGGAGACAAACGTGGAATTTCAAACACAGATAACCAAGACAGGACATGATCTTTTTGGCTGCTGCATCCTTTATGCTCTACAAGTTTCCAAGTCCCATGTAAGTCAGGCATGTGATGTGTCCAGGTCCCAGCTGAGAGCACAGGGAAGCCTCGGAGCGGATGTCTCCTGTCAGCATCTCCAGGAGAAACAGGGAAATCTGAGCAGCTGCTTTTCTCCTGGAAAAGCCAAGGGTTTAAATAAAAAAAAGCCACTCCATGGGGACTTTTTGCTTCCCTATCACTGCCTTCAAAACACATCTTTGCACTGATCTGTGTCTACTGACCACTATCAGCTAGAGGGTGACAAACAGAGCACAGGAGCAGCAATGACATCAGTTCTTCAGAGCTGGTCCTCAGTAGCCAAGGCTTGCTGGCTCAGGAAGCTGGGAGGTGCTAAGGGATGCCCCTGCTCTTAGAATCCTGCTGAGAGTGAGAAAAAAAAATCTTCATTTGGCATCTTGCCAAAGAGCAGCTCGTTTGCTGTAAAGCAAGGGAATGACTTGAAAACAGCAGCTGCTTGTGCAAGGCAGGGATTTACTGGTAAGGATCTCCACAGCCCCACCTCCAGCACAGATGGCCTCTTAGACTGGAAAAGGGACAGAGAATAGGAAGAGAGATGAGGGCACTGAAAGCCTAAACCTGAAGGGAAGGACCAGGGAGTGTCCAGTCACTTTGTCAGTGTTGCCACACTCCCAGTGTAGGCAGAACCTTTCTCTAGGTTTTTTTAATGCATGCTTTCTTCTGATAAAATCTGAATGGGAGGAATTTGTTTCCACCTCATGCAGGGTGAGTGTTAAGCAGAGGGGGCTGTGAGGGTATTTGTCTGTGTGAAGGATCAGCCTTCTGCTCCACCCACCATCCCTTTTGCTCCAAAACATCTACCTGCCCACCAGTGTAACTGGTGCTGTCATTAACCAGTTAATTACTGACTGTTGCTAACCAAGGCTTTCTACCCTCCAGGCAGGACACTGGTGTCAAGCTGGAGCTCCTCCTGCAGAGCTCCTAACAAAGCTCTCTCCAGCATGAGGGGTCAAACCCATGGTTAGAGGGTGGTGACACCATGCCCAGCTCTCTGGGTGCCCCAGAGCTGCAGGGTGCAGCCAGGAGTGGTCTGACAGGGGCACAGCTCCTCACTCCCCTGGGATGTTCTTCTCTCTGGAGCAGGTGTCCCATGCTGGTTTTCACCCCCACGCTGCCCCGTGCAGGTCGTGCTGGCAGCAGTGGGGTTTCACTTGCATCTGCTCCCTCCTGGTGAATCCTGAGCTCCCCTCCCAGTGCTCTGGTGCACGTGACCTTGTTTATCACTTGTGAGCAGTGTCCCTTGGCCACCAAACCCTGTCCTGCCAGGGTCAGGAGCTTTCACAGCTGTTGGTTGCAACACTCATGAAGTGACACTCCTGGAAGGGGAGAGGAGCAGAGGGCAGCAGGGATTTCCTCCTGGGAGGCAGCAGCCGTGCTGCCAAGATCTCTGGCTAGCAGCTTGCCAGCCAAGTAAGTGGCTTGTACTTCTTCCAGAGCAGAGGAAAGCACAGAGCCATGGCTACGTGTGTTCCACTTGCCCCCTGCAGCCAGGAGCTCTGCACAAAGCCCGTGTGGCTCTGCCTGCTGGAATGCTGTGAGGAGGCTGGGAGCTCTAGGAACCAGTAGCAGGGACCTGTAGATCACGGGTTGAGCTCTCCTGTGTGATGTGGTGATGGAATTGCATGTGGCTACGGGCAAGCTGGAGCACTTACTGGACTTCACTTTCATTTTCTGGCCAGCTCTGAGTATCAGGTTGCTGGGTGTGTGTGTCTGCTCCCAGGGCTGAGCTGGGCTGGGTCACGTAGGACTGGCTGCAGTCCATGCAGGCTGCAGGCCCCACTCCTGCCTCCTCCTTGCATCTCTTCCTTAGTCACCTCCAAGTAACTTTGACGTTTTCCATCTCTGAAGGCTCCACCTGCCTTCTCTGGAGATCTGCTCTGCCTCTGCCAGCTCAGCCAGCACCTGCTGGAGGAGAGCAGCTCCTGGGACAGACCCAGGCACTCATGCCCTCGTTGCAGAGGCATCTGAGCAGTACCCAGGGACAAATAAACAGCAGGGTAAAGGCTGTCCACATGGAGACTGGGCAAAGAGAATTGAGCCTTCTGTGGCTCAAGCTTGAACCAGATCCCTGCCTTCTGTTCCTCCCCTCGGCTGGACCCTGAATGGCTCTGCTCTTCTTGGGGCTTCATGAGCTTTTCTGTGCTTGCATCATCAGGTTTCACTGTCAGGATGTGTAATAGGACCTTCTACCCACTCACTGCACCCCTGCCCTGCTCCTTTCCCTCCTCTTGGTTGTGCCATCTCCTGTCTGCCTCAGTGGGGGCTTAGCAACCCCCTGCCCATCTCTGCTGGCCTCCTGGCTCTCTGGCCTGCTGTGACACGGCCTTCTGCAGGGGGAGAACTGTTGGCATGAGCTCTCTCCTTGGAGCAATTAATGTTACAGGAGCCTTGCCATTCAGCTGTCTGCTGCCATGTGGTTTTGGCTCCCAGACAGGGCTCCAGCACTCCACCAGAGCCCACGATGCATTCCTGGTGGAGGAGTCCACACGGGCCAGCAACAAGCCCTGCTCCAAGGCTGTTTCTCCCTTTTTGCACCCCAAAAGCTGTTAGAAGGCAGGGGGGTGGTGAAGAGAATTCCAGATTCATTGATAAACAACAATTGTGAATCTCCTGAGCTCTAAGAGTGGTAGAAGGAGGAGTCCCCTTCACACACAGCACTTGAACTGGAATAGTAAGAAAATTAGCCAAGTGGAGGAGGACTCCAGGCCACACCCTCAGAAGCATCTTCCTGCCATACAGCATCCCTGTGCCCAGATGGCTCTGTGCAGCCTTTTGCCAGAGGGCTTATCCCAGAGCCCCTTTGAGATGCTGCTCCCAAGACTGCCCGGGAAAGGAGGTCGAGAGGTATTCAGAAGAGCAAGAAAACACTCAGCTATCCTGGCTTTTACAAAGTGATGTAGGGAGGAGCCCCTCCACTCCAGACAGCCCTGCCAGCGGCAGGATAAATGAGGAGCTTTCTGCAGCCTGGTGTGGGCTGTGGCCTTTGCACTGGGAGCAGCCAGCTCTGGAGTGGGGCACCTCCCCTGGCAGGGCAGGGCAGAGCCAGCAGCTTTTCTCATCACCTCTCTTTATCTTTTCATTCCTTTCAAAACACAGCTCCTTTTTTTTTTCCCCTATTGCCATAAGATGGGATCAACCTGGATGTTGTTCTAGACCCAACAGTTGCTCCTGACCTTGGCAGTTGCTCTTGATCTGGCAAGCAGCAGTTTGCTGCTCCCCCTGGGGCTGCTGTGTGCCCGCCCCAGGCAGCAGCTCTGGCTGGCAGGGGCTGCTCCCTGGCAGGGGCAGGGCTGACCTGCTGGCTCAGGCTGCTGAGGAATGTTCCCGGCTCAGCCTGGGGTTGTGTAACAGAGGTGTCAGTGCGAGCTGATGTGGCTCAGAGGCATTTTTTTGTCTGCAGCAGTGAGAGCAGGATCCAGGACTTGTGGGTTGTACTTTTAGCTCTGTCCTGATTCCTCTGCCTGAGCTCCTGCCTCTTTCCACTGCCCTGGATTTTGAGTTTATCTGGAGTGGGTTAATAACCCACGGAATGGGTTAAAGGCGCTTCAGGGTTGGCATCTCAAAGTGTTCACAAAGAGCAGCTGTGATCACAGAGATCAAGCAAAGCTGTTCATTGAGGGAAGAGCTGGAGCTGGGGAGGTGGAGTGAGAAGTTCCTGGATAGCTGACAACAGAACTGAGAATAAAGCCTGGGAGCCTTCACACTAGATGCATATAATAGTAATAATAAAACAGAGCAAATCCTGAGGTATCTACTCAGCAAAATTCTCACTGAATTGTGAGACTGGGCACAAGATGACCAAGCTTTCCTAGCAGCTGCCTGTGCAGGTCTGGGTTCACATCATTCCACTAACACCTCCTTCTCTCTTCCCCTGCTAGGTCCCCAGCCATCTGTCTCCAGCTCAGAGGGGGATCTCCTCTTCCTGCTGGACAGCTCTGCCAGCGTTTCCTACTATGAGTTTTCCAGGGTCAAGGAATTCATGTGGGACCTTGTGCAACCTTTCACCTTCGGCCCCAGAGATGTCCAGACCAGCATCATCCACATCAGCACCACGCCCACCATGGAGTTCCCCTTTGACCAGAACCTCTCTGGTGAGAGCCTGCACCAAGCCATCCGGGGCACTCAGCAGCTCATGGGTGACACCAACACGGGCAAAGCCCTCTCCTATGCCAAGGAGAAGTTATTCAGCAATGAAGCTGGTGCCCGACCAAACGTGCCCAAGGTACTGGTCTGGGTGACAGATGGTTTCTCCACTGATGACATCTCTGAACCCATGCAGCTCCTGAAGGACATGGGAGTAACAGTCTTCATTGTCAGCACTGGGCGGGGGAATTACCTGGAGCTCTCTGCTGCTGCCAGCCAGCCTCCTGAGAAGCACCTGCACTTTGTGGATGTGGATGACCTCCCCATCATCACCCAGGAGCTCCGAGATGCTATCCTAGGTACGGTGGGGTGGGGTGACTGGAGTTTGCAGCATGAGTGTGAGTTAATGCCTCACTCTGCAGGGCAGGCAGCGTGAGAATCCCCTGGAACCCACCCTCCTCCTGACCCACGGCTGCTGCCCCTGCAGGCTGAGGTGCTTTGTCCTCAGTGCTATAGGTCCAAGCATAAACCAAGACCTTTAGGAGGTCTGGGGCAAGTATCTCTACACCCCTTGGAAGATCCCATGACTGACTGGGCCAAATTCTATTCTGCAGACCTGCTAGTGAGATGCACTTGTTTGTGATGAGCTGTTCAGTTGTTGAAGGAAGGAGGCTCAGGCAGCATATTAGGGTGAAATCCAAAATTCAGGGTGAATTTTCTTCTCCAAAATGCTGTCTGGCTGTGTGTCCTCTGATGGAGGTGGAGGACACAAAGGTGTTGAATGCACTGCAGGCACAGAATGGGATGTGTGTGTCTGGGCAGGGTTTGCTCCTGAGCTCCTTCAGACTCTTGTCCAAGGTAGATCTGACTTCCCAGAGACTCAGCATCCTGTGCAGGTGCAGTGGCTGGCACACACTGAGATCTCTAACTTGTCTCTAACTCCTGCCTATGAGGGGCTGGAAATTGTTGTTGTCTCACAACGAGCAATCGAGGATGGTGCTTGCTGTCAGCAGTAGGACTGTAGGAGAGGAATGGTTTTGTTTCCATAAATCCCTTGTTGTAACGTGTTCCACATCCTCCACATCTTCAGCCCGACTTGGCTAGCACAGCCCTTGGAGGAAAATCCCAGCCCTAACTTGTTAGGCTGAGCAAGCCAACTGCTACCTCCTGGTTGCTAGCATGGTTGTGGTGGTTGCTGTGCAGAGAGCAGGAACAGACAGCAGATTGGATTTTTCAGCAGCCCTGTTTTTTTGAAAGCATCCAAGAAAGGGTCCAAGGAGACCCAAAGCCATGATCCGGGCCAGAAGACAGGAATTTGGGAGCCAAGAGAAATAACTCCTGCTCATCTGCATGTTGCACTGCACAGGGCATGTTCTTTTTGCAGCTCTTGAGTGCCAGCATGGTGGGAGTGCCCGTGGCTGCAAAGCAGGGCTCTGCCCCAGCTGCCTCTGGGTTTGGTTGGAAAGCTGAGGGAGTTACTATGACTTTACAGACTTTCCAATGATTTATGGGGTTTTTTTCTGGAGTTTTTCTCTCCTGTGGAAATCGTCCTTTAATTCCTGTTTTAATTTGGTTTCTGCTATTGGGAGTTGCTCAGAGCTGCCTTTGGAGTGTCCAAGTAACCCTTTCCACAGCAGGCTCTGTGTGCAGCAGTTTGTTTCCAGCCATGACCACTAAACAAACCACATGAGGGGCCTCTGTCCTTCTCCAGCCCCCCAGCTCTCTGCTGGGTGAGTCTGGGGCAGTACCAGCAGTGCTGCTGCTGGGCCAGCTGCTGTGTTTCAAGTGGCTCAACAGTTCAGTCCCTGCAGCTGTGCCTCACTGTACCAGGGTAGACACCTTCCTCTAGGGGCTGCTCGGTTAAAAAGCATTTCTTTTCTTTGCCTGTGGAAATCTGATCAGAGATTTGAGCAGACAAACAGTCTGACAAACTGTCAGGGCTGAGTCTGGAGTTCACAGCAAGGGTTTTCAGTCCTAGACAGCAAGGCAGTCACTGCTTGGACAGGGAGACAAAGGAAAGGTGCCTTGGGCTGCCAAACTGTGCTTCTGTTCATTGCATCTTGCATATGCAAGATGACATTTGGTGCTCCTCCTGGGGAAGGACCTGCAAACATTGTGAAACCAAGGCATTGCTTTGAGATGACATCAGGTTCTCTGCTAGCATCCACTTGCTCTCCACTCAGCCAGCAGAGCTGACAACTGCTGACTTGTTCCATCCCTTGGCACCGTCTTCTGAGCCAAGTTCTGCAGGAACCCACCTGCCCAGCAGTCACAAAACATCAGCCACTGCCCACGTGTATTCAGGGCAACACGTTTCTGACCTGAAACAAAGCCCTGGATAAGTTCTGCTGCAGTGAAGTCTTTGAGCCTACAGTCCTCTGACACTCACTGAGCACTGAACATCAGCAGGTGAACAGAGGGAGAGATCTGAGTCCTTGAATGTCCACCCTGGTAAAGGAAAAGTGTGTTCCCCCTCCCAGAATTGGTTCCAGACCTGGAACTGTCTCCCCATGCACATCAAAGTAGGGAAATGGAGCCAGGAAGCAGCAGTGATTTGTCCCAGGTCCTAGCTGAAGCTTCTGCAGAGAGGGGCTCATGCACCAAGAGCTCAGACAGGTTCATCTGCTGCCTCATGACATGAACAGCATTCCTCAGGGTCTCCCTTTGGCCTCACCAGTGTTCACGGGGTGCCAGCAAACCTGTGGCTGCTGGATGGTGTTTCCAGTCACCAAGGGGCAGGAGGTGGAAGGCAAGTGTGTCACCAGCTGCCTCTCAGTGCCACCAGGAAGGCACTGCCCGGGTCCAACACCAGAGATTCACCTGCTCCTTGTCGAGGAGCCTCTGTCACACTTGCTCCTTGAAGGAGCTCCTTGCTCCTTCCCTCTGGGCACAGGGAGGTGCTGTGAGCACACCATGGGCATTTATTTTCTGGGCTTTATTGCCCTCTTTGTACACTCACAGAATCTGCAATGTGGCAACAAGGGGCTGAGCTATTTGCTGTGGGCTTCCTGCAGCACTTCCCTCAGGGATTGCACCCTGGCACTTGAATCTGCCCAATTTATTCCCAGTGTCCCCTGGCCCTGCCTCCAAACTCACTTATTTCCATTCCCAGAGCTTTTTGGCAGGACCTTTGGCACTGAGACCTTTTGTCTGTTCCCTGTCCCTTTGTGGCTTGGCCACTGGTATCTGTGGGGCTGGGGAAGGGTGCTGTGCCCCAGGCCCCGTGGGGCTGCCTCCTCCAGGCTCTGGGTGGGTGGAGTGCTGCTGGCTGGCAGGGCACGGGGAAGGAAAATGTTCCTGCCTGCCTGGGAGAGCCAAAGAACAGCTCAGAGGAAAAACTGAGGCTGCTTTATTTGGTATGGGGGAGCTGGCAAGGACTCGGAGCAGCTCGGGGGAGGAGAGCTGATCTTCTCCCAGTTAAGGGACGTGGCTGAGAGTGTGAGGCTACCTCCTCTTCTCCTGCAGGTCTGGGCAGACCTTCCTGCCTCCCCTTGGCTCTGTGGAACAGGCAGGCAGCGAGAGCTGCTTCCAGCACTCTGGGAATGGCTGCAGCTTGAGCTGGAGGGTCCTGCCCTGAGCTTTCAGGAATGATGCTGTGCAGAGGAAATGAAGTGCTTTGAGGCTCGGGGTGCTTTTAAAAATCCTTTTTAAAAAAAAAAAATAGCATTTTTGTATCTTCATATGCCTCTTCCCTGGAGCTAGGAACAGCCTTGCGTGTTTCTGCCCATCTGGAAGACCAGGGAACAGTGGAACTGTGCCCAGGATGGGCTCAGGAGGCCACGTGTGTCACGAGGGTCAAGCAGCAGAGGAGGCATCAGAAGAGGCATTTGTGTCTGGCATTTGGGGTGCAGAACTCCAAGGTAGCAAGAGCCTTGAAGAGAAGTCTCTGTGCAGGCAGAGAGGGAGGCGAGATGGTGCAAGGGTGGCTCCCAGTGCTGAATGTCACAACACAATGGGGCTCTGTGGAGCTCTGCAGGGAGTGACCTCAGCTGGGTGAATGCAGCCAGCTCAGCAAGGGCTGGATGGTCCTCAGCTGCTGCCCCAGCTTCTGGGGACATGACAAAACTCAGTGGTTTGGTTTCACTAGGAGGTGATTTCCACAGGGAGCCCGGGATGAACTGACCGCAGGAGTTTTGGGACCTGGGTGCCCAGATTCTGTCTCCAGGTTTGCCACAGGCAGTGCCAGTGCTGCTTGCCACGTTGGGTACCTGGTGAAGTCTTGCTGTGCCTGGCCAAAGAGGCAGCTTCCCTCACTCAGCAGTGCCCACACACCCCTCAGGCTGCCCAGAGCTTGCTGGAGCACTCCAGATTTGCTCTGGTGGCTCAGGACAGGCTCGGGTGGGCAGGGGCATGGTTGCTGCTCTGCCACAGCAGGTCCCTGGCACTGCTTGGCCTTACCATGGAGGATGAGGCAGTGAGAACAGGTAGTTTGAGCTTCACAGAGCAGCTTGGAGGCTGCAGTTTGTGGCAAACTGGTTTGAGGCTGGAGATGCCTGGGAGGCAAGGTGCAGTGATATTCTTGAGCTGAAGCCTCTTGTGCAGACAGACCTGAGCAATGCTTAGCCAAAATGCCACCCCATGGCAGCTGGGACAAGCTCTGTTCAGTGAGAGGGTGTTGTCTGAGGGGTATTTGGTGTGAAAAAAACAAATATTGCTGCCTCAGTGGATACATTTGGCTTTTTTTAGCTTTATGCAGGGCTTCAAGGATTCAGTTTTGTGCTCCTGAACCTTTCAGAGGGTGCCTTGTTGGCTGAGTTGCTGTGGAGGGGGTTGGCCACACCTCTGTGACTTCAGCTGTCACCCCACGTGGCTGTAGGCAACCTCTCCAGCCAGAAGGGCTCCAGACGTGCCATGTTCTGTGTGTAATGACTTCTTGCTCCTGTTTCTCTCCCAGATGTTATCCAGGCAAACCGGCTCCACGCAGTGGATGTCACCTCCAGCAGCTTCCGCCTGACCTGGCCCCAACTCCTCACCCAAGACACCGACTACTACACCCTGGAGTATGCCCCAAGAGATGACCTAGCAAGGAAGAAGACAAAGCAAGTGTCTGGGGCTCACACCAGCCTGGTGCTGAGCAACCTTGCACCAGAAACGACCTACGAGGTGGCACTCATCCCTGAATCCAACGTCCTCTACTTCCCTCCCCAGACAACAAGGGTGACTACACTGCCAGGTAAAACATCCTCAGTCGTGGCCAAGGGGAAAGTCTCCATGCTGCTGAGCCTTGCATGCAGAAAGCAAACAGGACAGCCCTTGGTCTGCAGCCCTCAGGTTCTGGCTGGAGGAGGCAGATGGCTGTGGTCAGGACAGAACAGAATGAGCTGCTCATACTGGTGCTCTGCTGGCAGCTCTTTCATTAGAGAGATGTTCTGGACTGCCCAGAGCAGGGGATCAGGTCATAAGATGTCCTTCCAACCTTGAAAGCCCATGAATGTGGAGGAAAGCAGAGCCCAGTGAGCTCTTGGTGGGTGCTGCTTCTCCAGGCAGGCATGTGCCCACTGCTGGGGGACCCCTCTGTGAGAGGGGAGCAGGGGGAGAGCACTCAGAGCAGAAGCTCTACGCTGACTGCTCATTTGGGCCAGGAGAATAACTCAAATTGATGCTGGATAGCAACGTGCAAAAAAGTGGCACACTGAAAATCTGAGCAGGATGCCAAAGCCAAGGTGAACTTGCAGCCAGTGTTAGTTTTCTGGATGCAAGAACAGTTCTGGCTGGGTAGTTTGGCCCAATCTGTGCTGCACAGGCAGAGAAAGCATTTCCTCAGGGCTGAGCTGTGTTGGGCTGAGTGGGATGATTATCAACATCCACTTGCTGGATGGATTTTATTCCACCTCCTGGAAGCCAAATACGGTGCAGGTCGATGACACTCCTCTGGCAGTGCTCTTCTGCCTCAGCTTACACACTCACCCACCTCTCTGTACCTTGCTTTCAGAGGAAATAAGCCCAGCTCAGGTTCTCATCTCAGAGTCGGGGCCGTACAGCTTCCACGTGAGCTGGGCTCCTACTCTGGACAGTGTGACTGGCTACCAGGTCCTCTATGGGCCACTCCCTGGCAACTCGGTGAAGCTCCTGGAGGTGGATGGCAAGCACAACAGCACCCTGGTGGAGCACCTGGCACCCAACACCACCTACCTGGTGACAGTGACTGCAGTCTACAGGTCGGGGAAGGAGAAGTCCCTCTCTGCTAAGGCGTGCACTCAGGAAGGTGAGTGAGCAGCACTCTGCTGGGGGGAAGCAGGGACACGAGGAGGCTCTGAGGGGTGCTTGGTTCCTTGCACGCTTCCTCTGAAGGTGAAGCCAGAGAACTCAGCCCAGTTCTTGGGGAAGGATGGGAGGAGGGGGAAGCTGCAGCTTCTGGAGAACAGCACGTGATACATACACCATTAGGGTGTAGCAGGTGTAGAAGGCATAGGACTGAGAGAAAATCAGACATACACGTGACTGCTGTTAGAGCAGCATGGGCTTGGAGATCCCTGCATCTCCCCAAAGCAGAAAATATTGCCTTTCCCTCCTTAGCTCCTCAGTGTGATTTCTCTCTTTGGTGTGATTTGGCATCAGAGGGGTGGAAATTTCATCAGCTGAAGCTTGTCCTCAGGGGAGGTGCCTGTAAAGCTCTTGCAGGAGGCAAAACCTAGCTCTTAGCAGGACTCAGGAGTGAGGGCAGCAGCTGAGGGTGTGGGCAGTGCCCAGCAGCACTACCAAAACGATTTTGTGCTGGTGCCAGGACTAATTTACTGACTAATTAGGCCGAGCTCCTCCGGTGCAGAGCCGCAGCGTGGCAGGCTGCTGTGCCTCTACACGATGACGCCCTGCTCAGGAGCGGCCTCGGGAGGACGGAGGGGCTGGGTGGTGAGGAACACCCCACCCAAAGGTCCCCCAGTGACAGGACCTTCTCCCCCCAGAGGGCTCCAGAGTGCGGCGCCTGCGCTTCGAGGACGTGGGCCCCGGCGCCCTGAGGGCCTCCTGGGACGCCGCCGACGGGAAGGTCCTGGGCTACAGGGTGAGGTGCCGGCGGCAGGCC